ACTAGCATTTACAGATTTGCAAACATGTGAGAGTTGCAAATTCCTTCTGAGCACAGATTTTCTCCTTAAATGTATGTGTTGCAAAGCCTTGAAAATAAGAATGATACTGCATCAAAATAACATTTCGGTCAAGATTGTTTGGTTTACAGCTTAAATCCTCATCCATACATTTTCTTTTCTGCATGCATAACCAATTTTAGCATAAGTTTATAAAATCTGAAATCCATTATGAGCTCCAGAGAGCCAAAAGCGTCACCTCTTTCACAGCGTAGAAAACAGCAGCACACACTTCTCCATATCGGTGCCTTTTTCACTTGTAGAAACACCATCTGCAAAGAGCTGTGAGTACCTTTTCTTTCAGTCCTTGACCTCTCCACCATGTCCATCTCTCAATTGGCAACCTGTCCAGTGGGACTCTCACGGAGTAATTACGCACAGACCACCTGATAGCCATGAGACAGGAACGATTCAGTGCCGTGAGCCAGGCTGCGCATGTGACTAACAAGCGAAATGCATTACAGTCCGCTGCTAATCCCTTGAGCCTTCCAGTTGTTCATACGCTTCTGCTCGGTACATCTTCGAGAGAGTCAAGGTGAGGTTTCCACATACAGATTTAAATGAAGGGATCTCCTGCGTTACATGTCCACGCATGCCTTCCAATACACTCTCACACTTTTCTCAATATATAGTGCCTTGTTTAGAGATTGTTTTAGTTTTATTTGGAGAGGAGGTTTATGCAGGTATTGCTAGGAAAGTGACAAATCCAGCTATAGGAGAGCCGGTTTGGTAGAAACGCTTCTTGTTTTGGGGAGAACTGAAATTTTTCCACTTACAAATTTTCTCAGGCCTTAGAGGTCTGGGTGAAAATTCTTAACTTCTCAAAGAAGACTTCTGCAAATATTGTACTTCCAATAAAATTTCAATTTTTCTATTCAAAACAAATGGGAATATCGATGGGTTTCTATTGACCAAATCTAGCACTGTATATTTTATTAAACTTCCAAAATATGTAGACCAATATGAAGGAAGATTACTATGGCTTGTGATTCCAGAACAGCAACTGCCATCTATAATCATAATGTACATGATCATTTTACATGTACATGAGTCCTAGGTTGGGGCGAGGGGAAAGCTCTTCAAAACACTGAAATCTTTCCAAGAGGAGCACAGCAATAAAGATACATTCTACCTGCTAGAGCCTTGAAGGCATAAGGTACATAAGGGGTACTACTCTTTGGGGAACCAAGGAGCAGCGATATAGGGTCTAGTATCACACTCTTTGAAAGGGTACCGCATTCGGCACTGGCCAGGTTCAGGAGCTGGCTGTGCCCCAAACTTGCACTTTCTCATTCCACTGCACCTTTTTCTTGTTTAAGAGTTTGTTCAAAGCCAAAGCGTGGTATCAGATCATGTCAATAGAAAAAGCCCTTCAGGTGCATAGAAAATGCAGTAGCAGATCCATATAATCAAAAGAACTACAGATTGTATAATACGCATTTAGCCACTAGGTGTAACTGTGTGTGTACTTCATCGTGAATATTTATTTTATTTTTCTGTTGTTTCCAGAAACAAGGGCAACTAATGGTGTCAGAGTCCAGCCCACTGAATTTCAATCTCACATTCTACTTTTCATACACAAACAGGAATGAGTTGGTCAAGGGACAAACAAAAAGCAAAGAGAAGACAAGTTCTTTAACAATACCTAGGCGTTCCTAAAAATGTCGACGTAAATACTGAGGAGAAAAACAGCATTTGTTAAGTCTCTGCAATATGACTGTAGCTAATTTTGGAAGAATTACATCTAAAATCATATACCATATTAAATAAAGGAATACAAGGGCTTCAATTGTAATGACTCACATTACATGAAACACGGACAACACAGGTCGAAATTCACATTTTTCTTTTTGACAAATTTTTTAAAATGTCATCTCACAAAGCAAGCATGGAACATAAAAATCCTTAAACTTCAGCAATCATTTTTAGTACATGATTAATATTAACGTCCTATTCACATAGGATGACATAAATTGGATATGGAATTCTAAGGGGCAAAGTTTATTATTCTGTTACCAGAAGTTTTCATATTCTTGACTTAGAGTATCTTGACTTTCTTATCTCCAAGAGAAAAAACAAACAAACAAACAAACAAACTGTAGTGAAATTTCATACCACAAAGTGTTAAACTGTTTATATCACATTTTTAAATTCCAGCCTTAAATTCAATGAGTTACGGGGGGGGGGGCAGACACTGACACATTCTAAATCCTTCTATGCAGCCATTAAAAAGTGTTACATCCCAAAATCAATTTGACAGTCACTGACAAATCTGAGGAATACAATGTTGTGCTTAGACTATAGCAGGGAAAAAAAAAAAAGAAACTTTTTGCAACATATATGGACATGGGTGTTAGCACAGTAACTCTGTGAATTATTCACATATATGTCAATTGTTCAATAAGAAGCCACAGAAAGTAAACATGAGAAAGACTTCTCTTAGCTCACTCGCTAGGACCACTCTTTATGTAGATGGTGAGATGATGTTGGATAACCCAACTCTCCTACAACCTGTGGAGCAGCAGAAGAGGCAGCACAAGGAAGGAAAGGTCCTAACATGTAAAAAACTTCTTCAGTCCTGCAGTAGGAGGAGCTACTTCTTGTAAAATTGCTTTTGCTAGCAGGTCCAATATAGTCGACATAGCATATATATGCATTTTTAACCAGCAGCCTCGGCAGCCTTTCCCAAGTTACCATGCAGCACAAAGCATGTGTCAGATAACAGCAAAGGTTAAAACATTTCCAGTTGTTACTTTAGTTAGCCTTTATACTCTAAATACTAGAACAGTGTTTTGCAATAACTAGTTACTCCTTACACACACACAATTCCTTCCAATTCGCCATTTTAGCATGTAAGGAATGCAGGAACAGCCCTTGAAAGTTCCTCCTCACCAGAGGCTTGAAAACCCTTACAAGTGGAACAAATACAATCTAAAAAGAGACATATATCTCCCCCTACCTGCAGAGTCCTTCATCCTCCTGCCCCAGGGAATGACATTCATGGACATAGCTACTTCAGGACTCAAACATGAAATAAACTCAAATCTTACAACCTGACATAGCCGCAGTATGTCAAATCATTCAGACTGGAAATGCTGGAACCCCTCAATGATACCTGTTATTTAGCAAGCTGATACATTTAGCCTAAGAGGTTTTAAAGACAATTTGGATGTGCCTTTCTGTACTAGTTAAGAAATGAATGATCTGCTTTAACTGACTATGTCCCAACAATGGACTATCAGACCAACAATATCCACGAAGACACTATGCATAAGAAGCCTGTGTACAAGTCTCTAACTTTGCATTCTCTCAAGGAAAGAAGCCAAGGTGATAACCTGTAGGATTTTCTTTTTCGTCAAGATCCCTGGTAGCCCTTGCAGATTTGTCTCATCGTGTGGAAAGTGCTAAATACACACAGAAGAAACTGAAGGCAACTCTTAACTACCCACCCATTCTTGAAAATCGCCTTTTACTGTTGCAGGAAATGGTATTTTACAAAACACGCTTATTATCACAAATTCATTTGAGCTTTGTCATCATACCTGGCTAACACCTCTCTGAGAAAGTTCAGTTTTGGTTTTGAATGAAATAAAAAATGCCTATACATAATTGATACTGCCTGGTAGGTTTCATGAAGTTTAAGGTTGAGTTAAAGGCTTTTATTTATTCCTTATCTCTAGCAATCACTTCTTCCATAGATAGGCCAAGTTCACTCTAACTGTTCTACTTCCAGCTGGAATGTGGAGGTTCGTTTAGGCAATCCAAACCAAACGCCTACAGCGCTAAACCCAAATACACAAACAAACAAGTACCATAACTTCTCACACTCTAACTTTGTTCCTGGTTTCCCCGAAGTGTTAGGTCCTTCATACAGCTGGGTTATGCGCTGTATCAAGTGTGTTTAGGGGGGAGGGGACAGGAGAAAGGGGAAGACAGCTCACTGTACGTCAAAGCAAGCCAGCAACCTAGCAACCATATATTAAAAGGTGTGTGTGTTTTTGTGGGTGTCTGTGTGCCAGGAATAACTGAAGCAGATATTATTCCATTTGTAATCCAAAAAATGTGAAAAGGGAAGGGGAGAAACTCCAGCTGCTGGTCTATTTTGGGGTCTGTCAAAAACCACTTTCACAAGTACAGTCTTAACACTTTCTATCCCATTCATCTTAAACAAAAATGAAAGTCTGGACCTGAGCAAGTTCTTAGCTTTGGTTTGAAAGAGACCCTTCAAACCAGGAGCCGACCTTACTTCACATACTACGCTTTCTTCCAGCTGGTAATATGCAAAAATCAAAGGGGCAGAGAGGTTGCCTCAAAGATTTCGCACTTAGGTTAAAAGAATATTGATCTAGTGTGTTACTTACGAATGCACTAAATACTTCTAGGTATCTACATTTAATTTATCAAACAGAAGCGTCAAAGATTCTCGGGGAGTGGAACTAGCTTTAAAAAGATTTACTTAAGTGAGAAGTTTACCTTTTTAATTTTGCCAAAGTTTCTCATTCCGTAAGAGAATTGAGAGTTTCAATCAGCAAATAAACACTCCCACCCTGCCATCATATGAGGTCCCGGGGGTGCGTATCAACTTCCAAACCACACCGTCCCACCATGCCTGTGCCTCGCCGAGAGGGCGAGCTGACACCAGGCATAACTTTCGTGCCACCAGATGAAAGCGTGGGGTGGGAGGGAGAGAAGGGGACAGGGGGCCACATCCCAGGGCTGCACCCACCACCTTGCCCCTCCAGCCACGCTCCCGACGTTGCGGCTGCCAACAGCCCGTGGCGACCCTACCACAACAGCAGACAGCAGACTGCCATCCAACAACAGCCCTCGGCATCTCCTCCAGTGCCACCTCACCCAGGTGTCCGCTCCTACTCCTCCTCCTCACCACCACCACCGCACCAAACCACCACCGGCACCAGGAGGGGAAGGGGAGGGGGAGTTACCTTGTTTTTGACCCCGCAGTGGCAGCAGACAGTCCACAGGTACTTGAGGGTCCTCCAGAGCAGGATGATAAACAGTCCCCCAAAGAAAGTGACCATGGATGAGGCGAGGAAAGCCCACCACATGCGCTGTCCGCGGCTATCGCAGGGCACCTCCATGGTCACCGGGATGATGAGCGCATCCATCTTGGGCACATTGACGGGGGAGGAGGACGAGTCTGTGTTGAGATTGTTGGCGTTGATATTGTTACTCATTCTAATGCCGCCGCCGCCGCCGCCGCCGACCGGGTAGGAGCCGCCGCCGCCCCCATTTGCCACAGCTAA